AAAAAAAAAAAAAAAAAAAAGGAAAAATTTCAGTTCAAGTCAGAACTTGTATCTGCAAAGGCAGAAAAAGCCACAAAGAACAGATAACTAAAGGAATTCCAAGGTTTCTGAGGAGGGCAAGACCTTCCACACCATTTCTGAGCTTGTCAGGGCATTAACATTTGGATCATCTCTGCTGGCTCAAGCCCATTTGGGCAGCTCTGCCAATTTAACTTTTGTTTAAATTAGGCAGCAAGCAAAAGAGAGGGAAAAAAAAACTAATCCCAAGCATGAAGGCAGGAAAAAAGGGACAGCCAGACCAATAAAGGAGGCAGCTGTAGGAATTTTGGAGCTACAGCACTGACCTGAGGGGGCTGAGCATTTTTATTTTTCCTTTTTTGGGTGGTGGGATCTACAGGAGGATGGCTGAACACAAAAATCAACGTGTGTGTGTCTCAAAACCAGTGTTGAGTCAATCTGAGGGCTGAGAGGGAAGAGAAGGAGAAAGAAAAAACCAAGGGGAAGTTTGGATTTAGGATCCTTGACCTTCTGGATCCACGCTTCCTTCGGGATCTTCATCGTTGTAGATGTTCTCTGCCTGCAGGACAGGGTGGAGACACTCAGGGAGCAATTCCCAACTTTTGGACAGGATTCCACCCCCAAAAACTTCTGGGAATTTTTTAATTTGCAGGCATGGATCACTGATCCCTGATTTACATTGAAACAGCAACAAAAACAACTTTATCCTGAAATGCAGGAGTGAAAAAATGTCCTGTAAAAAGGGATTTGCTAAAGGAGAGTCCACTGCAAAACTCAAAAATAAGTTTCAATTTGCAGATATGGATCACCCATCCCTGATTTACAATCTTATCTATAAATCCAGGAGTGAAAAAATATCCTGTAAAAAGGGATTTGCTAAAGGAGAGTCCACTGCAAAACTCACAGAAGAGTTTCAATTTGCAGATATGGATTTACAAACAACTTTATCTATAAATCCAGGAGTGAAAAAATATCCTGTAAAAAGGGATCTGCTAAGGGAGAGTCTACTGAAAACTCAAAAATGAGTTTGAATTTGCAGGTATGGATCACCCATCCCTGATTTACATTAAAACAGCAACACAAACAACTTTATCCTTAAATGCAGGAGTGAAAAAATGTCCTGTAAAAAGGGATTTGTTAAAGGAGAGTCTACTGAAAACTCCCAAATTGAAACTCATTTGTGATTTGTGAAACTCAATTTGTAGATATGGATCATCCATCCCTGATTTACAAATAACTTTATCTATAAATCCAGGAGTGAAAAAATATCCTGTAAAAAGGGATTTGCTGAAGGAGAGTCCACTGAAAACTCACAAATTGAAACTCATTTGTGATTTGTGAAACTCAATTTGTAGATATGGATCACTCATCCCTGATTTACATTAAAGCAGCAACACAAACAATCTTATCTATAAATCTAGGAGTGCAAAAATATCCTGTAAAAAGGGATCTGCTAAAGGAGAGTCCATGCAAGAATCACAAATGAGTTTCAATTTGCAGGTATGGATCAGCCATCCCTGATTTACAAACAACCTTATCTATAAATCCAGGAGTGAAAAAATATCCTGTAAAAAGGGATTTGCTGAAGGAGAGTCCACTGAAAACTCAAAAATGAGTTTCAATTTGCAGGTATGGATCACTCATCCCTGATTTACATTAAAACAGCAACAAAAACAACTTTATCCTTAAATGCAGGAGTGAAAAAATATCCTGTAAAAAGGGATCTGCTAAAGGAGAGTCCACTGCAAAACTCACAAATTGAAACTCATTTGTGATTTGTGAAACTCAATTTGCAGATATGGATCACCCATCCCTGATTTACAATAAAACAGCAACAAAAACAACTTTATCCTTAAATGCAGGAGTGAAAAAATATCCTGTAAAAAGGGATTTGCTGAAGTAGAGTCCACTGCAAAACTCAAAAATGAGTTTCAATTTGCAGGTATGGATCACCCATCCCTGATTTACATTAAAACTGCAACACAAACTTTATCCATAAATGCAGGTCTGAAGAAATATCCTGTAAAAAGGGATCTGCTAAAGGAGAGTCCATGCAAAACTCACAAAAGAGTTTCAATTTGCAGATATGGATTTACAAACTATTTTATCTATAAATCCAGGAGTGAAAAAATATCCTGTAAAAAGGGATCTGCTAAAGCAGAGTCCACTGCAAAACTCACAAAAGAGTTTCAATTATTTGTTTTACTCAGCAGCACTTTCTAGAAGAATTACGTAGAAAGCAGCCAGGAAAAAAATTTAGAGATAAACAAAAAAAAATAGGAAAATGGTTTTGTCAAAGGTCAGGATTGTTTTCCAAAACCTTCAGCAGCTGGGAAAATAGGGGCCAGCAAACTGTTCCTGTTCACCAGCACCTCTTTCATCTTTGGAGAAAGAAATCTCAAATATTCTTTAGGACAATAATACAGAAATCTCAATTTCATTCTTGGTTCTCACACACAGAAAGGAAAAATTTCCTTCTGCACCAACATTTGATTTTTTTTAAACACAAAACATCTCCTGAGTATTTGGAAACTTCTTTGGCCACACCTAAAGGAGATTGCACTGTTCAAACTGGGGAATTCTGAGGGCTGTAAAGAAAAGCAGGAATGCTGAAATCCAGGAATTTCAAGGCAGCCAAAGAACTCACCATCTGCCAGACTTGCATGATATTATCTTCTGATACAGAACAAATGACCCAGGGCTCGTTGGGATTCCAGGAGAAATCCGAGATCTTTGCAGTGTGACCACCATGGATAAACTGGGATTGGGGAAAGCAAAAGGGGAATGGTTGGAAATTTGCATTGCAGGGTGAGTAATAAGGGAAATTAATTAATGAGAGTGCAAAGGCTCACCAAGAGCTCTGGGGGCCCATCCTCAGCATCCTCAGGGGATTGCTCCTCTCCAATTTTACTGCAAAAAAACACAGAGGAAACAAAGGGAAAAGGTGAGGGTTGGGGGTTTTTAAATTTGTTTTTTGAGGTGTGATGGAATTCATCAGTAATATTTTGAGGAATTTGGGATTTACCTCAAGTCCCACACGTTTAGCCTACGGTCTGTGCCACTGGAGGCCAGGATGGTTTCATTATGGGGAGACCACTGAACCTGCAGACAGGGATAAATTCAGAAGTTTTTTTAATTTATTAAATTTGATTTAATTCATTACATTTATTTAATTTAATATATTTATATATTATATATAAAAATATATTTATATATTTATATATAATTTATATATTTATATATAAATATAAATATTTTATATTTTTAAATATTTTTAAATATATATTTATATATTTAAATATTTTTATATTTTATTTATATATATTTATATATAAATTATATAAATATTATTATATAATATATTTATATATTAATATATTATAATATATTATAATATATTATATATATTTATATATTATAAATATAATTATATATTATATATAATATATTTATTAAATTTAAAAGTAAGTTTTAAAAAGCTGTAACACAACACTTAATTTTGCACCCTGAAAGCCCTACAAGAACTCAACACAAACAGTGTAAATAACATTTATCACAGGAAGAATTGTGAATATTCACACACCCAAAAAAAGCCATTTCACCACCAAATGCCACCTGGAATTTGTCCTTTAACAAAACCCATGTGGTTCCCAGTGCAAACAGCTCCCAAGGGGATTGGCTGCTCCTTATCTTCACCAGGATTGCACAAATAAAAGCCACAGGCTCAGCTCTCACATGAAAAGAAATCACTGTAATTCAGCTGAACTGCCCAAATTTCTAATTTACTGCTCCTGCTGGAGATAAAGCTCTCCAGAACACAGCACTCCTAATAGGATCACAGGATTAGGCAGGAACACAGAATTCTGCCCACTAATGTGGCATTTCAGGATTCTGGGATTTTTATTTAGACATAACACAGTCTGAACTGATAATCCCTGCAGCAAAAAAAANAAATATTATTATATAATATATTTATATATTAATATATTATAATATATTATAATATATTATATATATTTATATATTATAAATATAATTATATATTATATATAATATATTTATTAAATTTAAAAGTAAGTTTTAAAAAGCTGTAACACAACACTTAATTTTGCACCCTGAAAGCCCTACAAGAACTCAACACAAACAGTGTAAATAACATTTATCACAGGAAGAATTGTGAATATTCACACACCCAAAAAAAGCCATTTCACCACCAAATGCCACCTGGAATTTGTCCTTTAACAAAACCCATGTGGTTCCCAGTGCAAACAGCTCCCAAGGGGATTGGCTGCTCCTTATCTTCACCAGGATTGCACAAATAAAAGCCACAGGCTCAGCTCTCACATGAAAAGAAATCACTGTAATTCAGCTGAACTGCCCAAATTTCTAATTTACTGCTCCTGCTGGAGATAAAGCTCTCCAGAACACAGCACTCCTAATAGGATCACAGGATTAGGCAGGAACACAGAATTCTGCCCACTAATGTGGCATTTCAGGATTCTGGGATTTTATTTAGACATAACACAGTCTGAACTGATAATCCCTGCAGCAAAAAAAAACCAAAAACTTCTACATATTTTTCCTGTGATTAAGGCACGAGTTGGAGATGGAAATATTGGATCTGCTAAGCAGGTGTGAAGTGAAAATTCTCAATTTCCAGCAGGAAATTCTCTTTTGTCAGAGGGAGTTAAAGGGATTTTATTTAGACATGACACAGTCTGAACTGATAATCCCTGCAGCAAAAAAAACCCAAAAAACTTCTACATATTTTTCCTGTGATTAAGGCATGAGTTGGAGATGGAAATATTGAATCTGCTAAGCAGGTGTGAAGTGAAAATTCTCAATTTCCAGCAGGAATTTCTCTTTTGTCAGAGGGAGTGAAAGGTTCCTGCAGGTCAGGCTGAGGAGATGCAAACTCTGCAGCCATGAATAATTGAATGGACTCTGCTCCCATTTCATCCTCCTGCTGTGCTGAAAGCTCCTCAGCATTTCCCTCATCCCTTTCTGCACTGCAGGTCCACAATAACAACACCAAGAAAAAAAATAAAATATGAGTTTTTAAGTGTAAAAATATTGTGGAAGAACTACTTTCCTTTTCCAGGCTGCTGAGTAGAACTATATCTATGAGGATAAAAGATAATTTTTTTTTTTATATTTTAATACCTGAAATATTTCATCTTTATGTGATTCAAAGGAGTGCAGCTTCAGTTTTAGGTTCCTCAAATCCCACAGAGCAACAGTCTAGGGGGAAAAAAAATATAAAAATATTTTGTTGAAGTAACCAAGGTGGATTTTTCCACTATAAAGTGAGCAAGGATGCTGCAAAATGCAGAAATACCTTATCAGCTGATCCTGTGGCCAGGATGAACTCACTGTAGGGGTTGAAGGAGAGGCAGTTCACCTCAGCTGTGTGAGCATCCAC